TGTACTTCCTACTGCTGCGCGGTCCCTCTTTTTCCCCACCTGCTCCGCTATTCTCACTGCTTGTGATGTGGGTCATATTATGAATTCCCGTCGCCACCTTTGCTGCCCCGACCTCCTATTCCCCGCTCACCTTTTACTCTGCGTCTACCCTTATACTAAACACTTAATACAGATGTCTTCTTCCCGGTTCAGGCCGACTCGTCCTCATACGCCAACTACCAAAGCCTCAGTAGATGAAGAATCGGGAACAATCGTATTACAAGACGACTTAAAAATGCGAAGACTCTCAGCAGCCTGCAAAGAGTGTCAGCGTCGGCGGACCAAAGTAAGGATCCTAAATCATATCGCATACTTAGCTATTAACTTATTGATGTCTCAAACAATAGTGCAGTTCTGGAAATCCGTGCTTGGAATGCACGAAGCATGGCTCTATTTGCATATTAGATAAGAGCTCCGACAAGCGACGCAAAAGCTACGTAAGGAAGATGGACGAAGAACTTGGTTACTATCAGAGGTTTTTGGACGACTTTCTGAGGGCAATCCGGAAATCTAATGATGATGACGTCCATCACATCATCAATATTGTGCGGTCGGGGTCATCAACCAGTGGAATACAATTTGAGGTGGACGACGTTCTTATGGGGAATAATCATTCTGGGCCCGCAGTATGATTTATGCAAAACCACTCAACAAAGCTCTGAGCGGATTTCACAGATGGCTGCTGATGCGGGAGTCGACCTGATTTATATATTCTCATACTCGCCGGACCTGCAGATGCCAGTATTCTCTGCAAATGTATTACAGTTAATTTACGAAACTTTCCATCACGTGAGGAACCCTTTCAATACGATTCAGTATTTGAATCCGAGCTAATCCTGGACTGGATTAGTGTGTTTCGGAACTGGGCTCGAGACAGATTCTGTGAGAACAAAGTGGTGAAACTAACTTCGAGCCATCCTGTACACCCTGGCGCCATGTAGAGCTCTTTTTTGGTCGGGCTGACAGTCGCTCTTTAGTTGAGGGGAGTTGTTTCCAATTGAAATTTTGCTACATTCCCTTACCGTACAAAAACTGCGTTGAATGACATAGTTGCACCCCACGGGTGTTGCAAAAACAAGCTACTGTTGATATGTGCCGCTGGGCAGCGGTTCGATTCTGTTCTAGCCACTGTAGTTCTTATTCTAAACATAACGACGCGGCGACTAGGTGCCCAAGTATCACTCAGAGCGCTTCATTCATCCGACGATTTGTTCTCTCTTTCCTGATACAGAATATGACCAGTATAGCGCCCCTGTTCATCGTGGTAGATATGTGCTGTTTGAGCCTTGTTGTTTTTGAATTGTTCCTCGGTTGCAAACAGTGCTGTGGCATGCGGCCTAAGGTCGGTATGACTCGTGTGCGATGGGTTTCTGTAGTGGTTAGATTTCAGTACGGCAATTTCAGTTACACTTAACATTAATATAGTCCTTACTTGAGGATGGCTATGGTGAAGTGTGCTAAGTCAGGCTTCTGAGTAGCGTCTTCGATGAGGCTAAGCGTGAGATTGCGCAAATCAGAATTGCGAATCCTCTGCGTCAGCTTGACGGCATGCCGAGGAATAGGAGACATGGTGGGCTTCAAGTCTCTTATAGAACTCGTAGGTTGTATAGAATATCAACGAGTAGTAATCTTTTTAGACCTAGTTACGTCTTTGGGGAACATAATCTTGCTGATTTATATGTTTGTCCTGAGATTGTGTGAGTCTGCTTTTACCGCCTCAACTTGAGTAGGGTTTCTTGATCTTGCATTGTGCTCCAATAAATATGGTGTCTTTTGAGAATGCATAAGCGCCCGATTCATTGCTTTGTGGTGGTGTACCAATGACCAATCATTTGCCGCCAAAAAGTCTCAAGCGTTAAAACAGATCATGTGATTGGCTATCGTATGCGAGTTGTTGCCACGTCATCTGTCCCTAGGCGCGTCGGACATCCGATCACAGTCTGTACTCTTGATAATATCTACCCAATAGCCACAGACAAGTTTGTTTCATCTGATGAAACTTGCCTGGATACTTTCCCGGCGCACTGTCCCCTTGAGGAGCAACCCACGACTTCGTGTTATTTCTAAGTCTATGTCTACCCATCCAGACAAGAGTCAGATGGACCAGCCCCTATATATTTCCCCCGTTGATGCGGAACCACTTAATCGCTACCGACAAGGCGGTTACCACCCAGTCGTCCTGGGTGAACACCTGAAAGCTGGAAGGTATAAGGTGTTGCATAAATTAGGATGGGGAGGTTACTCAACAGTTTGGGCGGCGAGAGATCAAAGGTTGTACAAAATTATGAGACTCACGGTAATTCTAGCTAACATAAAGTTCTACCTGATTGCAGGAAAGAGATCTATGTTGCTGTCAAGATTTCTGTTGCAGAAAAGGACCATGATGGGGAAACGCGAGAGCTCCAAACTATGAAGAAGTTGGCATCTCATCGTCCTCGTCTCAGACATACGCTGTACATGCTTGATAACTTCGATTTAAAGGGTCCCAATGGACATCATAACTGCCTAGTTTATGAGCTTCTAGGGCCTAACATCCCGGACACAATTGATGCACACTTTCCCGATGGGAGACTCCCTGGGAAGCTCGCCAAAGTTATTGCGAAGCAAAGTCTTATTGGGCTTGATAGCTTGCACCAACAAAATATTGGACATGGTGGTAGGTCACTCTGTTGGGAACATTTTGAACTATTCTCACATAATATAGATCTGCATACCCGCAATTTGGCCTTCACTATGCCTTACATGGACAATGTAACCGAAGAGGAATTTATTGAGATGTTAGGAAAACCAGAAATTGGCTATGTCCGAAGGAGCGACGGGAAGGAACTGGAGCCTGGCATACCCGAGTATATCGTTAGGCCTACCTCATATCAGACGCATTCTTGGAATTCGGCCCAGTCGATCAAGATAATCGACTTCGGTGAATCATTCTTACCCACGGCAGTTCCTCGAACACTACACACGCCTCTAGCTATTCGGGCACCTGAAGTTATATTTCAAGATCGCATTGATTATCGTGTTGATTTGTGGAGCATGGGATGCATGGTGGGTGAACTCAACCAGGGCCAAACGCTGAACAACAGTAAACTGATAGGTACGACAGCTCTTTGAACTTTTCGTGGGACAACCGCCTTTCGACACCTTCTTGATAACGCCTAAGATCCTCGTTAGCCAAATGCGAGAGATGGCAAGTGACGACCTACCTGAAAGGTGGCACGAGATATGGGATACGATGAACGCAGGAGACGGCAGAATCATAGAAAGCACGGGGCCCAACTTGCAGGAATGGCTAGAAGAAGTGTACTTTGATGGCTCACAGAGTCCCGATCTCACCAGAGAAGATATCGCGAGGCTGGGGCAAATCATCGGAAAGTTATTGCAGTTTGAACCGTCAGCAAGGGCGTCAGCTAGACAAGTTCTAGATGACCCTTGGTTTAATGAGTAAATGGCCCACGACAAGCGGTCGTTCTGTCGAGAGTGCGCGGGAACTCGGTTTCAACCGCGGCTGCATCTAGGACCTTTCTAATATTTCTTCGATCTTCAAGCCTGCGTGTCGAAAATGACCTTTAGCGCTTTCTTCTTTTGCACCAACAGTATCAATACACCATGTGAGGAAGGCATCAAATCCTTGATCAGGATCTGCTTCATAGTAGCCCCAGTTGCGTTTAATGAAAGCTTTTAGCTCAGCGAAAAACTCCTCAATCGGATTTAAGTCGGGTGAGTAGGGCGGTAGATAAATCAATATCACCCCCGCGTCCGCACACATCTGCGCAAACGATGCATTGTCCATAGCCACAACAGATTTAGGCTCGGGCCATTTTCCGCAGTGCTGAAAGCTGGGCTATGAAGTCTTCAAACATAGTAGCATCCGTTGAACCGCGAAAGACACGCGTTTTCGCAACCACCACGACACTAAAATTGACCCAGTCTAGGCACCCGGGCGATCAGGAAGATACTGGTTCATATTTTATGCACTGCCCCGAAGCGGCTCAGCCTATCGTAACCGTTCTCGGGGTTGTTCTGGAACGCCGGGGTCAAGTAAATGGTGGTTCAACCCTATTGCATTATCGTCTCCAATCTACAGTTTACAACAGTTCATCTCGAACCCATCACACGTTCCCACTGAGTGCATACTTCAAGAACGGTCAACGTTGGGCAAACTTTCCACCATTGAACATAAACACACACATTTTCTTGACTGGACGGGTCTTCGGCGTCACCAAGGAAAATCGCCAATTAGCTGTCATTACGGACGATGTACATTTCCTTCCTACTTTGTCACAGTCCTTGCCCCCAACCCCATCTCCAAAGCCCAATAAACGGAAACGCCATGATCGCTGGTCCCAAAGGGCTACGCCTCGCACAACCTCGACATCAGTGACCGTGTTGGAAAATGAGTTGACCTCAGCCGTCCAACAATCATACGACCCCACTGAAGCCACTCTCCCCACTGAAGATGAAGACACGCAAATCACCTGGATAGATACAGCTGAGGACATAGGAACCTCTCCACCAGCTAGCTCCCCTTTGCCGGAGCGACGTTCACAGAGAGCGCGCAAAGCATCGTACACATGCTGATATTCATGCCGACTCGAATTAGTGGGATTGGAACCCCAAGCGATTTCATTTGCGTTTTCCGCCTTTGATATGTTGTATGTTTTGCCTTCCCCAGCAGTTCCCTTGTTTTGCAGACGAGGTCCGAACTCATCAGTTCAACTCTCTTCCTCTTGCTTCTGCTCCTTTTGTGTTTCTGCTGACTTCATGCGCGCTACTTATTTTCCCATTTTTGCTCTTTTGCTGCCTGCTTGGACGTAGTCTGTATTGCCTTCAGGATTCGAGAGCTTTGTTGGCAGCTATGTGTACGTTCACGTCCTATGATGGTGTCGCTGCTTTTTGAACCGTCCTTGTTCGAAAGTGCTTCGCTCCACTCGTTCACTCAGATTCCCTGGGAAAAGGTTCATGCAGCAGTCCTGCGGCCTAGCTAGTGAATCCATCCGTTTGAAAAGCCATGGTTTCGTATTACTTGTGCAGTAGCTGCATGTACTCTTGTTACACTTGTTTCCGTATTATATTACTCCCAATGCCTACGCCATTGTAGTGCTGGCTCCTGTCCCAAGACACAATCTGCTTACCTAACCGGATAATGGAATAAACTATATAAAATGACATCTGTTCTCTCTCTTTCTAGTTTCTACGAGCAACGTACAGTCTCATCAAGCTTCAGAACTCCAGTGTCACATTGGCTCAATTCGACGTATTGAAAGACAAGGAGTGATGCACTAAAAGTGGTATCTTAGCCATCAGAAAGCTAAGTCCTATGTAGTACAAAATAATGCCATCCACGCGACCATTCACCGTCCTCGTCACAAGCCAAAACTGTCATATCACCACCTGACTCTGTTC